CGTTCATGTCCTGCTCATCCGATAACGTCATACCCTCAACCGCCTCCTCAAAGCTTTCCAGCTCCACAAGCTTGGCCTCAGACGCCGTAATCTTCAGTTCCATCTCCTGCTTCAGCACCTCAACCGTCGCACTAAAGCCAGCAAGTGCCTCAAGTAGCGCCCATGCAGTTGCTAGCGTATCGAGATGGTCCTTAGTCACTGAAATTGCTTCATCGATGGCGGCGTAGAGGAGGTCGCGGGTAGTAAGAGTTGTGGGGTTGATGAGAGGCGCGTGAGCGGCGAGAACAGTGACTATGGATGCGAGGTCGGATACCGTACTTTCTGTGCTTGAAGATGCGGAAGGCAATTCGGCGGCTGGAGAGCTGGACCCCTCCTCAGTGATCTCGGGAAGGACGTGTACGGTATGTGGCTCGGGTGTTCGTGGCGGCGACGGATCTTGCGACAGCGGCTTGGGCTCGTTTGCGGGTGACTTTGCGATGAGAGGCGATTTTTCATTCTCGTCGACTTTGGATGGGACTGCGTCGCGCTTGAGTTTGGAGTTCGGACCGTGCCTGAAGATGTGTCGCAGAAGATTTCCCCGCGTCATCGTGGCGGTCGTGGTTGATTTGACGAAGTCGGCGGGAGTCAGGTCGCCGCGGCTATACCGACGGGAGCGAAATATGACTCTCAGCGTAAACTGTCGGCGTAGAAGCGGGATATTGATCGGGTGACAGCCTTGCCGCAGTCGCAGTAAATACTTGCTCACCTACGATATAGTCGCGCTAGCCAAGGCCATACCGACAAACGCACGATCTCGTATGTACTTCCAGAACACCACGATTTATTCCCTCCTTTTCTTGAATCTCCATCAATTATTCAAAATCTTCTGATGGCCTTCAACAATACCTACGACAGTGCCCGTGACCCTCGGCTTAGTCGTCAGCCTAGTAATGTCGACATGCCTGATGTAGCGTCTGCTGTCCCAACTCCAAACCGCCAGGCCGTTCCGATACCGCCTACAGAGTTGTGAGTACCCTGAAAATATCTCCGAAAGAGCTCTTGCTAACTTCATCACAGTGCGGCGCCGCCCTCAATCGATGACAATATGGCACCAACGAGGCGGGTTCCCGAGCTTCTTGCACGCATCGCGGACCAGGAAGCTGACAACGCAAGACTCCAGCAAGAGAAGACGGCTGCCAAAAAGATGTCCAGCGACTACCATATTCGTCTCACACAGGCAACCAAGTCCCTAGGCGATTTGACGGTCTCATATTCGAAGCGCCTAGAGGAGAAGGAGGCCTTGCTCAACGAGAACGTCGCAATCGAACAGCGCGACACGCTGATGAGGAAAGAGACCGCCAAGTCCGCCCGCGAAATCAGCGATATGACGAGCAAGATACAAGAGATGGAGGCCCAGATCCAAGCATACGAGGTCGAGAACAAGGATTTACAAGATCGCGTCACTACCTTGGAGACAGAAGCGCACAGCCTACAATGTCACGTTCAGGACCTAGAATCTGAGAGAGAGCAGGATCGGGCTTCGGAGAGTGTTGATGGATATTTCAGGAACGGTAGGAGGGACTCCACGCAACGCCCCATGTCGAACGTTCAAGCAACTCCTCCCCGCCAAGGTTCAGACCGGGACCGAGAGGTGACTTACAGTGAGGCGGTATACACTGAGCATAGGAGGAGGTCAAGTGGGCCCTATGAGCGCGGTGATCATCAACGAGGAGCTCGCCGGGAGCGCGATCGTGGCCGAAACGTACGGAACAGGTCATCTACCAACGATCGCTTCGTCCCTGACCTGTACCCTCCTACCGGACCTCGCGCGGACAGGCGCTGATGCAGAGGGCAGGGAGAGATGTGAAGGATCGTGACGATGGTGGCGACAAGCGTCACAACATGGCGCCGTTGATAAGACTGAGAAGATCGAAGGAGGAAAGTCCGTACGGCGGGCCTGCTCTACATGGCGGGAAACGAACCTGTGGGCATTGCCAGATGTACGCAGCGGATTCTGACTGGGTGGGTCCCGATATTTGGCATTGTTTGCCGTACATACAATACCTGGTGATAGCAGAGACATTAGCATGATCAGAGCTAATGCCGGTTGCTTGAGTCATGTTCATCATCCCCAGTCTGATCCATCGCTAGTGAAACATGCGTAGACACTCATCAATTTGCATACTGAAGATAGTATTGTTACCGTCGCCGTACAAAGACCCATTGTATGTGTTGAAAGAACGACGAGGTTGGTCCGAAGTCACCGAGAAGTGCGAACGTCAGGGTTGTCGTCACCGACGGCGAGAGTCTCCGCGGACGACCATATATGTGAAGAGACTAGTGGGAAGCAGGGTACGCGGAGTCTTAATATCATGCCGTGATAAATGTGGAGAGGTGACTTGGAGGGAACCTCGCGTAACAGGCACCGACAAGGGGGCAAGAACATCGGACATACAAGCCGCCTCACGTGACGTGCCCAGGACTCGTGAACGGGCCGCTAGTTCATCTCAGTCAATGACCCCGATTATAAGGTTCGCTAAAACGGAGAGGATCTGGAGGATCGCGCAAGACATGTGTCTGACTGGTTGATCGGGTCTGGACAGGAAGATAGGCGAAGCCACGATGCGACTGCGCCGCATGCCGGTACGCGAGCCAACCACTCATGTAGAGCCAGGCGTTGCTCGCTGCCCGTTTACCCAATGGTGGTGCTTTGATCAATAATCGCGCAACGGACAACGTTTCTTACTGCGTTGGTGGCAGCGGAGTAGTCGACAGAACCCATGTTCGTACTGCAACGCGATAAAAGGGCCGTTTCCGCGTCAGAAGGCGTCCTCGGAGCATCATCCGTCTTTCTCCATTCGTGCGTACCATCTTAAGAACCATGGCAGAACCAATGAACAAACGCGTCGTTGTGGTAAGTCGCCTTATATGCCATGGCTAATATGAGGCTGATCATTCCAATAGGTTGGTGGCTCGATAGCTGGGCTCATGCATGCTGTGGCGCTCAAGTCTCATGGCCACAGTGTTGTGGTTCTTGAGATGCGAACTGAACAGCAGCTACAAGCCCGAGCTGCAGGCTTGAGTCTATGGTCAAACGCACAGAAAGTGTTCACAACATACCTACCTGATGTTGAGCTCGACGATATCGTTTTCCGCAACCCCGCATTTCCAATCCTTGACAAGGATGGTAAGGTCTTGGTAGAAGTACCGTTCACGGAAGACGTGCGCACCTCGTGCTGGGCTGGTCTTCACGGTCTGCTGTGGATGGCCTGCGAGAAAGACGTCGAGGGACATGGGCCTGTCAACATGCGCTGTGGATACCAGGTATGCGGGCTGACTGAGCAAGCTGACCACCTCGTGGTGTCATACAAAGGCGAAGATGGCATCGAGGAACAGATGACGGCTGACATGGTCGTGGCGGCCGACGGCGCACGTTCCCGTCTTCGAAGCCTTGTCCTTCCTGACGTGAAGACCGACTACGTTGGCTATGTGGCGTGGAGATCACAATTCCCAGAAAAGGATGCGCCTGAGGAGTTACGTTGTGCCATAGAGGGGAAGATGCCTCTTTGCATGCTGGACGGGAGCTACATAGTGGTGTAAGTTGGGTATAACGTTGCCAACCATTGACTGACATATGGTAGCTATCTGTCGCCTAGTACGATCGGAGACATGCGTCCTGGGAACCGTGTCATCGAATGGTGCTGGTATGATGCTTGCGACGCTTCGATACCAGTGTTCGCGGATTACATGACCGACGTTAATGGTGTCCGACATAACGTCACCGTACCCGGGAACCTATTGCGTCCGGATGTTTGGGAGGCTCAGCTTAAGCGAAGGGACAACGTGTTGTCTCCAATGTGGAGGAAGATCTTCCACGAGTCGAACCCGCCGCTTCTCACAGCCGTTCGCTGTATGTGCCGTCCATGTAGATACTCGGTTGATGATTTGTGCTGACTTACGCAACCATCTAGCGTTTGACAATACAAAAGCTTCGTTCTTCGGAGGCAAGCTACTGCTGGCTGGCGAGGCGTTCATTCAGCTTCGCCCACATCTTGGCGCAAGCTGCGATATCGCAGGGTTATCGGCCATTACATTGCCGCGGGTTCTGAGTGGGGAGATGAGTCTGGAAGAATGGGAAAAGAAAGTGGCTCAGCACGCTATGGAGAAAGCGATCGGAAGCAGGGCCACTGGAATATTTGGCATGACGGGACAGTGGCCGGAAGGCTATACAGCAGAGTCTGCGGCGGAGTTCTCTGAGGAAGTGGCGGCTTGAGAGGGTGAAGCTTGCCGTGTGAAGGGATAGAAACAAGGGGGAACGATGACGTATGTGAGATCGGAAGCTGCCCCGTCCCGGGGCCGGCGCTAGCGAACGGTCTAATCGAACCGAGTTAGGGGAATGCCCTCTCAACTGCGCAACGTCTCTCGCCATCGCACAGTACTGACACAGTCACAAAGTGATTCGTAGCCAGCCACAGTGATGCTAATCGAAGGTACGTTTTCTGATCATTTGATGAAAGCAGGACCTGCTATCGTGCGGGCACGTCGGCCTGGGAAAAGCTACACACCCAAGAGCCTACATCGACGCTAGGTTAAATACATTGCATGTTTCTATGTTGCTTTAGTCCGCAGACCTATCTAGACGTTTTCTTGTGTAAGGTGCGGGCGAACTTTGACGCGAGTCGGGCATTGGCGTACTGTAAATGTGGATACGGAGTCCGCGCAACGCGTCTGAGCCGGCACCATCAGCATCGTTACCGTACAACACGCGTCGAACAATCAATTTTTCGGAATCCGTGGAGCGGCTTCATGCAGCTTTGCTTGGCGAGGAACCTTGCAGTGCTCCTGTAAAGGTCCGAATGTCTACTACGCCGACAGCATCAAGTCGACAAGCTTCGATGAACTCTTGACATACAGTACGATGTACGAAGCAATGTACGAAGCAATGAACCATTTAAGTTTTGCTGAGTGTCGACAACTTTTACATCATCAGCTTATCGCGGTCTGAAACGGACTCCGCAAACATGGTCTCTCAATCCAAGGACGCATGGGAAATGTCTTTCCTTAGCGGACACTCCAGCTTCGAGATTGGAATGGGTGTTTTCCTCTTCGCTCTCATTTTGAGCTTGTCACGCGCAATCTACCTGCTCTACTTCCATCCCCTGTCATCTTTTCCTGGACCGTACAAGGCGGCCCTATCAACGTGGTGGCAGTACTCTTTGAGCAAGACTGGTAGAACGGAACAGATACTCGAGCAGCTGCATAGGAAATATGGTACGTCTCAGCATGACTTAGATGACTACACACTGACAGATTGAACAGACACTCAAGCACTCAGAATCGGCCCAAATGAGCTACACATTACCGATCCCACACTCTATCATACGATCTACTCGCAGCGGTACATCTTCCCAAAACACAAGTACTTCTATGATGGTTTCAACAATCTATCCAATGTCTTCATCGAGGCAGACAAAGATGCACACCGTGCGCGACGTAAGCTTCTCAACAACTTCTTCTCGAAAGCGTCAATCAGATCTATGGAGCAGACCTTGTTCTCCAAAGTCACCCTGTTATGTGACAGGCTATCGGACACCAAAGACAACGGTGCTATCAACTTCTACCACGCTTTCAGGTAGCACTCTCAACTTTATCTGGGGTAAAGACATTGCTAAAGCTATTACAGGTGCCTTACGGTTGATTTTATTACGCAAATCGCGTTTGGGGAGTCCTTCAACATGCTTACCGAAGCCGAAGACAACACTTTCAACGCACCGTTCATCACGTGTTTTGATCTAGCATCTGAGGTGATCTGGAACATGCAGTACTTCCCCATCCTTCGGACGATTGCATTCAGGTGCCCACCAAGTGTGACTGCCAGGCTGAGCACATCGGCCGCAAAATTCCAGGGCCTCCTACGTAAGGTTGCGAAGACTGTAGTCAACTTCAGGACTTTGAAGGCGTCCGGAAAATCCTTGGACCATGAGATTGTCTTCGATGCTATGCAACACCTCGACGACGCAACAGTTGAATCCGAAGCCGCGAACATCTTGATTGCAGGTTCTGATACGACGGCATTTACACTCTCGACCGCTGTTCAGCATATGATGAAAGACCCTGCCATCTTCACTCAACTCAGAAAGGAACTGAGGGAAAGCGGCATTGTGGCGACCCAAGATTTCACGCTCGTGAAACTAGAGCAACTTCCATATCTGGTATGTACCCTGATGAGACTGCAATACGAAGCTAACCCCCCTAGACTGCTTGTGTGAAAGAATCATTGCGCTATGCCATGCCCGTCCCGGGACGACTTCCTCGGGTCGTAACACATGGAATTCAGCCTCTCGTGGTAGACGGAAAGATTGTCCCCGCTGGAGCTGTCGTTGGCATATCCGCCTACAGCATGCATTTCGACGAGAGCATCTGGGGCGAAGATGCCAGGAAGTTTAACCCCGCTCGTTGGCAGGCCGAAGACGCAAAAGACCTTGAGAAATATCTCGTGACCTTTTCTAAGGGCGCAAGGCAATGTCTCGGGATCAATCTGGCATATGCCGAGATCTATCTCACCTTGGCGATGCTCGTCAACCGATTCCGCCTCGAACCGGATACGACCATCACGGCATCTGATCTCCAACCCCTGGACCATTTTGCCACTGAGTACGAAGGAACTGGGGTTCGCGCGATTGTCCATGAGGACTAGATGTGAGCGTTTGCGTTCTGTGCATTGAAGTGGCTCTCTGAGGGGACGATGTCTTGGCACGATAACAGCAGTGAGCAAGAGTAAGTGATTGAACAGATTGAGTATCGTTTGTATTGAGAAAAGTTGTACGTCAAGAATAGAAATAAAGTGCTCTTGATATTGGTATGGACTCATGAAGCCCACTGCTGTAATGAAGACATCGTTGTAGGAACCGGAAGTGAGGTCCCCATACGTATGAGGTGTTCGTTGACCTTCAGTGAAGCGGTGGTTGGTCATCGAGTAGATAGGTGCGCGATAATAGGCCGAAGTACCGAGTCTTTGACGTGATTAAGGACTTCCAGTCTGATCCTGGAGCGAGCTGCGGGCTCAGCAGCTATTGTTATGTTAGTGTCGCATTCTTTTGATTATCTTGTCCATCTTGGACATACCCTGTACTTCGTTCTGCACGTCAAGGTGCTTGCTTCTAAGTAGATGCCAGAGAAGGAGTAACGATGGAGGGCACGTAGCGACGAGAGTCACTATTGCGATGATGGACTCATTGGAAAAAGATGACATGGTAATTGATTGGTCCAGCTCAGCGACTATTGGCAGTGACTCGCACGTTGGACGGTTTGGTCTCGCGTAGTGTGTGGAAGATACTTGAGCGGAAGCTTTTGACACCTCCGAATTTGGTTATATTGACAAATTTTGGAGCAGAAACGGCCTTGGGGAACGCGCTATTAGCGGAAGTCTTATCGCGTGTGTTAAGCCTCTAGGATGTTGACTATAGGTTGTAGCCTTGTAGAAAGAGGGCATGTCATGAACATGTGCCGATCAGATTGGGGCCGTGGCGCATGCCAGCTCTCGGGCCGTCATTGCTGGAGTTCTAGTTTCAGTGACCAGCTTCGTATGCGTTTTCTCTCGCGCAGTTCAGCAATTGAATACATTTGCCATCATACCAGAAGCGAAGCCAATGCAGCAAACAAAGGCAACGGAGCCGCAGGCATCCACCCATCCAATCTCTATGCTTCGTTCATGCAGGGCTGTGCAGTGGCGCGCGGCCAAGATCCGACAAGCTTTATGACTTGCATCAGGCTGGCTTTCCTTACGCATGGCAACTCGTGGTTCCCTCTCTATGGAGATTCTAGATTAAGGTTAACCGACCGCGGGGGATCGTAGTCTCGGTTAGTGCTGCGTTCTGTTCACAATGGTCAGACAGATATGACTGGAATTGAAAGATCACTTACCAATTCATGCTTTCTTCCGCTGTCCCAGCAGAGATAGGCGATTGATGCCCATGTAAATGTGTAAGGCCCGGTCGAGGTATAAGGAGGTCAACTTGGCCCTCGACTAGATCGCCAAAGGTTGGCTGAGCTCGGCGATTGGCGAGCTCAAAATCCAGAGCACCTAGGTAGTGTTGGTTGGATCCGTGATGCAGGGATACAGCCAGAAGGTACATACAAATCTGTCCGGATCTGTTGTTAAAACCAGATCGTTTGATCCAATGGCACAGCAGTGCAATCGAAGGGGGGCATGTTGTAACGAGGGTAACGAGAGCGATTATGTCCCCGTTGGACAGGGACGACATATTGTGTTACACGTGTGAGGATTTGGGCAATGAAATATAAGTTGTGGCTGGAGGATGTGAATCGACAGCTTGATGCACGAGATCGATGCCTTTGTATAAGCTGCTTGAGATACGTTCTGCCGTTTGGAAAAAACCACTGAAGACTGCGGGCTCGCGTGTTATAAACGTGTGCTGAGCAGTCTAACGCGTGTATAAGTTTCCAGCCCATCTTTCCTGAAGCATTGGGATGCGTGCTGAGCTCCGTAGTCGTCTACGTTCTTGCGAAGCGAGAAATGATCTCAACCTTGGAAGCTAGCAAGATGCGAGCCTGTGAGGAACCGGCGGGCTCCTGGCCGACCCCTACTGTCCATTTGAACCTACGTTTCAGAAGCAGCGAGCTTAGGCCGATATTTGTTCAAGCGACCATGGGCATCTGCACGGCGTTGATACACCTGTAGGACTCAGCGTTGACAGGGACGCATCGCAGAAATCTGCACCGCGGACTAGATTGGTGGAGGGTAGGTAGCGTGGAGGCTCGTGTTGGTGCTAAGGGTGACGGGACGAGCGCGCGAACCCGCATCCACCAGAAGTCTGCCGGGCGTTCTTCCGGGCTCGTCCGGCGGAGTTCTATTAGGACGCATGGCGGTGCAGTGGTCGACTCGATGCTCGCGCATTGCGTCCCCCTCATCTTGCGTTTTTTTATGGCAGGGCGTCTAGTGTTCTTTCATGACGTAGGGCGGTTCAACCCACGTCGCACCTATGCGCTCAGTGTTCATATGCAGCCCAAAGCGATTGTGGCTAGAGAACCTCCACAATCTCCGCCTGTATGTAGCGTCATGTTGGACCGTGAACTTGGGTCGACGATGCGAGGTACGAATGCATTGTTCGGTAGGTAACCGTAGGTAGCGATAGGCCGTGTCCTATCCAAGCAGGTGTCCTTCTCACTTCAGCATTAGAGCTTCGGAACCCATTCAATTTGCGTTTTCGGGATAGCGTCCGTGACTGGGATGAAGTAACCTAGAGCGTAGGTTGTACCAGATAGTAAATCATTGGGCTGGGCACACAGGCAAAGGAGGGCTTGTGAATTATCAGCTTGAACTCGCGACGGACGCTGCCAGGTGTCAGGTAGGTAGGTGGAGCCGAGGCTGCCCAGGTCAGATGCCCCCGGGGCCGAAGCGGCCCGCGTAGCGCCAGTCGTCAACCCAGATCGCAACTACTTTTCCTCCCGACCCTACCATCACGACAACGCTGAGGGGCTTCCAGATCGCAACATTGTCATAGGGATCAATTCGCCATTTACATGTGCATTTTTGTCACCAACTGACGTACATCAAGCGACGTGCACTGCCGCCGCCGGCGCATGTGACACGATCGCACTGTGCCAAGGATTTTCAGTGTGGGAATCGATCAGGCTGTATCGCATATGTCGCCTGGTCATGGTCTACCCGCGTCATAGTCTGTATGAAAAAGCTTAGGGAGACGGGAATGAGTTGTAAGTGGCCGGTGGCAATTATCATTATGTTTTCTTATCACACGTCGCTCGTCGTACATCTCATCGTCAACAACATCTCTTTCCAACCCAAAGACTGTCCGGCTTCCCTTAATCCTTGGATATGGTCGGCCCTACTGCTTCTTCGGCTTTTGATAGTCTCTGTTGCGTTGCGTAACAGAAGTCTGGGTTGCCTTCCAGTCGTGGAAGAGCTTTGGGGGGTTGTTCCTCGGCCCATGTCGACGAGGCGAGTGATGGTTATCGTTGAGAAAAGTAGGTAGGACTGGGTTCTGGAAAAGTGGCATCGATGTGCTTCGTGATCTTGCGATCCAGGGCTAAACGAAAGAACTCGTCATCTAGGAAGTTGTCAGCGACGAACAGCGAGCGTTGACACATCTCAACGAACCGTTGAAGTCTCTTTGGACGCGACCTCTTCGCCTGAACAGATGCCAGATGAGGACCAAGGAAGGCGGACATGTCGCGACGAGACTGACGATGGCGATGATAGATTCGTTGGATATGGTAGACATGGCGGTTCTGATTGGCTGAGCGGCAGGAACTGACCAGTACGTGAAGTCTGCGTTTGACAAGATAGTCGAGACAAGCGTTTTAAATGAGAAATGTAATCGTGTGTGGAAGCTTCGTTATGCTCGAGTTGCAATCTTCGAAAAACATGGCAAGGCGCTTTAGATAAAATATGCTTACCGATATTCATCGTAGAACTCGTATGCCGCGATCACCCTGAACGCAGGGTGTTTGGGCAACTCTTCACGAGCAGCGGCTTATCATTGGCCAGTTGCACTCGGGGCGTCTCAGGAACCAATACCGAGAGCAATGTTGCTGCCCCGAGCGCTGGTCGCATCAACGTCACCCGATCTATTGGTTCGCTCCAGCTCCTACATGCAACCACCCACCCCTACATGCAAGAACTCACCCCTACATGCAAGAACTCACCCCTACATGTAAGGACCCACCCCTACATGCAGCACCCATCTGGGCCACGAAAGAGGGCTGCTGGTGGTTTGACGTACCCCACTCAGCCACATTCAGGGTAATCGTCACCTCCAAACACCCGGTAGCTAACATGTTCCGACTCAACGATCCGCTGTATTGGTTGTTCTAAGCACTCAAGCTGCCGCCGCTCACTAGTCGCCTTCTGTGATTGGCCTGTGATATAGCACCGCAATGGAACTACACGTGACCGTGCATACTTGCATATCTACCTGCCCCGTAACAACGCATACCTACATCTTGATCACGTGGACGGGTATTCTTGCCATTTGTACCTGCGTTGTAGCCACGCCTAGTCGTGTTACAAAAGCGTCTAAAAGAGGATGACTTCCAAAGGTTTTCGCCAGTACACGTGATCGCGCAGGGACACTCGGGTAGCCTTGCTCGATAGCTCCTCTCAGCCTCTACGTCGATCACTCCGTATTTGCACTTGGCAATGAGCGTGCATGCAGTCCACGGGTCTCAATGTACAGACTGGATCTGCACGCTGACACCACAGTACACTTCGTGACGGTCAGTCCCCAGGACGGCAGGGACTACCCACTGTGCCTACATTCAGGTTCTGTCCCATTGGTGGTTGTGCCGCGGGTTGTTTGCACCGCCCCTTCAAACCCTCACCGGCAGAGTATCGAGGGACCCTGCTAAATCTTGCATCTCGGTTACGGATTCAAGGTTTTGCTGATTGGACGATGACATGGATACTCTCGAACCGGTATCGCTCGCGTCGTGATGCATTCCAGGTTTTGTTTGATTGGTTCATGAGCAGGTACGTTGAAGTGCATCATATGCTTGTTGACCAAACCTCCTCTTGCTGATGTTTAAATCGGCCTCTTCCTCACCCTTACTCAAAGAATCATCTTACATTTCTTGTCGTTCTCATGCCCAAGCAAGCCAAGTCGTATGCACCCCGAATCTCGCTCAGTACATGGGAGCAGCATCGATGCAGGATCAAAGCGTTGTTCGTGGACAAGAATGAGACTCTGAGCAGGGTGGCTGAGATCATGAAACAGTATGGGCTATACGCAAGGTTAGTAGTCGGATTCATACAGAGTTTTCCATACAGACTTAAGCTAACTATGCTTAAGTGAATCGCAATACGAACGCCAATTGAAGATATGGGGCATACGGAAGAACCGCACAAGAGACGAATGGCGCCTTATAAACCGCACAGTAGAAGAGAGGCGTCGTCAAGGGAAGAGCAGTACTGTCTCAATCAACGGCGTTGAACAGTCAATCGAGAAGATTGATCGTGAATTTGGAAGGAGCGAGTATCGCAGATACGGAGGTATGACTGTCCATCGACGCATTGATCCTGAGCTGACTTTCTCAAGGCCTCCAGCCCGGTTTACCTGACCACATACAAGTGGGCTCGCCGCCAGCGGCCGCTCCCTCGGTCGAGACGTTTACTAGGTGTGCCATTGATCTAGAAGATGGACTCATTCCGCCCGCACTGCATGACTTGTACCGCAACGCGGGTACTGTTGAACGTCACCTGCATCTCAATCTCCTTCCTCCTGCAACTTGGGCTGCTTCCATAAGATGGATTACCAAGGAGTATAAGAAAGCTCGCAAAACCTGGACAACATGGACGTTCAAACTGGTCGATCTAGGGCTGAGCGGCTTCCTCTCCACCGAGGAGCCGCAGTTGGAAAATCTGTGCGACACTGCTCCGAATCCTGAACCTGATTGCGGTACAGATCTCTTCGATCATTCACCATCGCCGTCGGAAAGTTTGGGTATCCCCAGCTGGGAGTCTGTAGATGTTACTTCCGAAGAGTGGGCGACTCGCGGGTGGGATGTCTTTTTCGGGGAGTGGGGTATGGTATGAGATGGGCCAAGGTGAGCCTGTGGAGCTTTCCGTCATGTCGTGGGCTGTATAAGAGAATGAAGCAATGTCGTGGGTTTGGCTGAGCGAAGAGCAGACCGGGGTCGCAAGAGTACATCCACTACATACAAGAAACAAACTGAACACGCCTGGGGCGTACATTATATCAACGATGAGCAGATCTAGAGGCGTAACGTCCATGTAGGCTCTAGGGTTCAGCTTTTCCCTTGAATGGGGTGGATCCACCGCGCGGAAGCGGCCCGCTACCGTATGACATGTGAACTTCTCTCGCGACTCCACATTAACTTTCCACCACCAAACATCCACCATGCCGCGCCGCAGCCAAACACCCGAAGCCTCCACCGCGCAATTGCCAACACAGTCGCACTCTCATCCCGACCCCGACGCTCGCTCACCGCGCGCCCACAAGAAACACCACCGCTCGCACCGCTCGCACCGCTCGCGCTCCCCCCGTCGCGACGACGACACCCACCGCCACAAGCGGCACCGCTCGCGCTCACCCGCCGCACCACGACCCATAGACCTACCCTACAAAGCAAAGCCCTTATCAAAACGCCACTACGACGACTACAAACCGCTCTTCCAATCCTACCTCGACATCCAGAAGAACATCCAACTCGACAGCCTCGACGAGCGCGAGATAAAAGGACGATGGAAGAGCTTTGTTAGTCGTTGGAATCGGGGGGAGCTGGCAAGGAGCTGGTATGATCCGTCGATGTTGAAGACGGCGAGGGAGACGGTGCAGATGTATCGGGGGATTTCTCCTGGGGCGCCCAGGAGGAGGGCGTCGCCTAGCTACGAACGAAAGCAGGGAGATGAAGCCTCAGATGCAAGCGACGACGACGACTTCGGTCCCGCACCGCCTACAAAACTCTCCAGACATACCGGCCACGGTCCCACAATCCCCAACATGGACGACCTCACTCTCCGCAACGAACTCGTCTCCGAAGACCGCGCAAATGGCCAGTCGAATTACACCGACGACATCCGGCACGCCCGCAAGGGTGACCGAAAACAGCAGAAAGAAGCGCTCGACGACCTCGCCCCCCGCGCCGACCCCAACAGCCGCGACCGCCAACTCGAAAAGAAGCGCGAAGTAACCACCACTTTAAACTCCTTCCGCGACGCCAAAGAAGCCGGGGAAGTCGACGTCGCCGAATCAGACCTAATGGGCGACGACGGCATAGACGTGTATAAGAAGAAGAAGAAGGAGCAAGAGCGGCAGAAGAATGAGAGGGAGATACGACGAGAGGAGATTGCGCGGGCGAGGGAGGCGGAGAGGAATGAGAGGTTGAGTGAGAGGAGGGAGAAGGAGGCGGGGACTATGGAGTTTTTGAGGAGGATTGCTAAGGAGAGGTTTGGGTAGGTCAAGATGGGAGGATTATGTTTCATTGGAAAATGATTTGAGACCTGATAACCCAATTGACTGGTCGCCAGTTTGGTGTGATTGAGTGTAATATACAAATGGTAAAGCCTCCAAATAGGTCAACTCCACAACATGCTCAAACACATTCGTCCCATCATCATGTACCCGTACTCCTGAGCTCACTCTGATTCTCAAACACCCAAACCCAAGCATCCTCAAACCGACGCCCTAGCACCACCCCTCGGCTTCTTCCTATCATGATCCACAATGCCCCTCTTCCGATGGTTCTGCGCCGTCTTCCACCGGACATACAGCATAATCATGTCCTTCAGCCCAACAAACATACATCCACCCACCACACTCCTGCCCCAGCGCGTCTGCAGAAACCCAGTTGGTTTACCCACACCACCGGCCTTGCCGCCAGTATTGATCCAGCCGCCGAGCCAAGATGTCGCGGGTGCGCCGGTAGGAGGTGTAACCCAGGAGCTGGGTAAGCTGAGTCTGAGAATCTCGCCCATGGCGGCGGCGATGGTGGGGAAGATGAGGGCGCCGAGGATCGTGTCGGCGAGGGAGGTTGTGGAGAAAGTTACGCCGCGTTCGCGTCGAACACGTCGGGGTCGGGGTGCGGCGGGCTGCATGGGGATGTTGGGTGGAGGTGCTGCGTGTTGCTGAGGTTCGACATCGACGAGATCAGGCATCTCGGCGTCGTCCTGATCGTCTTGCGGTGGCGCGTCGATGGGTCCTGCTAGGCCTCGCGCGACGGGTACGGGGGGATGTTCGTGCGCGTCGTCGTCATCGTCGTCATCGTCGTTGTTGTCCGCGTCGCCATTGTTGTTCCAGTCTGCGAAGATGTCGAAGTCGAGCTCTATCTCTACTTCTTCTATCACATCCTCGTCGCCGACATGGTCATGGTCATGGTCGTGATCATGTTGTACCTGAGTATCTGCGATTATGTCCTCGCCAGCTCGGGGCTGGATCTCCTTCAGCCACTGCTGCTCTCGTGGTAACCACACACGCTCGTAGTATGCGTTGTAGAATCCTCGAAGATATGGTAGGGCGGCAAAGGTGAAAGCGGCGCTCGGTGGCCACTGCAGCTGTAGCATGTCATCGCCTGGTTGTCCGGAGCTGACGAAGAAGATGAGCGGGAGGAAGGGTAGGAAGGAGTCGGCGAATGACGTTCGGCTTGCGACCAAAACTGTCGGAATCAACGGCAGTCCCAGGTCCAACCTCCAGTGCTGCCTCAGATGTTCCAGCCACTGCAATGTGACCGAGTTCACCGACCGACTCGGGGTCTCGTAGAGCGGGCCGAGAATTTGTAGCGCATCCTGGGTGCCAAAAATCTGGTATATCGTCGCCGTCCCGGATAGCGTCAGTGTCGAGTAGAGCGCTGTGCCGGTGACGAGTGCGAAGCCCGGAAGCAAGAGGTTACCCGTAAGCTTCTCGACGCCCCGAACCATGTCCACCACATAGCTCCTCGGTCGCTCTATCCTGATCTCGCTCTTGCACTGGGGACATAATATCTGGCCTGCTGCTTTACCAGCCCGTCGCCGTGAGCTGGGCGCCTCCATATCCGCTATCCAGTCTAGCAAACACCTCTCGTGCGCCACTAGTGAGCAGGCGCAAGGCGACCTCCACTCCGATGTCGTTTCGTCGTCTTCCGTCTCGTCGTTGAAGCAGATCCAGCATCTTCGCGGTTCGTCGTCTTCTTCTAATTGTGGCGCGGTGGTCTGTGTGGGTACCTCGGTCTGTTCGTGCGGCGTAGAAGAGGCTGACTGTGTAGATGGCGTATTGAGTAGCAACGTCTGCGAATCTACCGACTGGCCGGAGAAGCTGTTCGTCCGTTCTGTTTGCTCTTGCTGTGAGGACGATGATTCGGCAGGAGGTGCGGGTCTATGTTGCGACGCGGGGCGCTGAGGCGGAAGAGACGCCATGAGGGCTGAATGTGTGCGAAGAGGATCGGGAAGGCGCGTGATCGATCGAACAGGAAGAATATAGATTATGGCTCTGCTCGCTGGAACATATGGCACGAGACAGTAAGTGCGGTCAGGTTGTTGCGAGAACGGGTGCGAGGGTTGAACTGCGGCTCGGTGTTTGTTGATTAAAGTTGCCGAAAGATCTACAAGACGTCACTAACTCCCTGTCACCTGTACAGTAGCGTGCCAAGACAAAGCACGTGCATACAACTTCATCTTCCCTCCATCGTGCTGTCAGAAGCCTACATCAGTATGAAAAGCGACAATCAACCACATACCAAGGCAATGTAGACTTCTTGGGGTAAATGTTTCATTGTTACAAAACAGAAGTGCAATACAAGATCATCCACCAATTCATCCTATCTCCCTCCGGAGCCTTCTCGGTTCCCTACACAGCCACATATCCTTCACCATCTCATCACCCCTAGAACTATACGTGTCAGCAAGCATTCTTAGATCGACACATAACAGTACTTACAGGCGGATACATCCCCCTCAAATGAGGCGGCGGAACCGGTCCCCAGACCCACGTCGGCGCCTGGCCCGGTTGAGGCACTCCCAAGTACTGCGGCACATGACCTCCTGGCAGACCTTGAGGCACTACGTCCCCGCCCATCGCGAACCCGTAAGGGTGCGGAGCGACGACATTACCAGCCACCTGGCTGTTCTGACGCCCGTGACGCTGTTGTGTGCGCCCGGCTCCACTGTTCTGGCGCCGATGGCGAGACATCCGCTTGGTAAGCTTTTTCAGCTCTTTCAGCTGGCCGTTGACGAGATGGCGGTGCTTTAGCGTGTTGGGTGAGTCGGTAAAGGATGGGTCCGCGACATCTGGGATGTTAGGGTCTTGGTTGGAGCCGTTTTCGTGATATGGCGAGCCCACTTCTTGCATTTCGTGGGGGTCGTGGGCGGAGCGGGTTTCGAAGGGCTCTGCGGCTGCGGGAGAAGCGTGGGGAGCTGGTGCTGGCGAGTTCTCTTGCTGAGCTCGAGCGGTTCGGCGAGTAGGTCTTGGTGGGTCCAGACGCCAGTGTGATGTGATGCTGTCGACGTCCGAGAGGCTTCGGAAGCTATGGTATGAGCCGACCTCGTCATCGTCCCCCTCTTGGTTTTGTCCTCCAGCCGCAACATTCTCTTCCTCAGCGCCCTTGACCCAGCCTGTCCCCTCTACGTACGCCAATTCGTAATGCGGGATAGCAGGATACGAACATACCTCTTGATCCACCTGATCGCCATCTGCCTTGAGACACTCTCCACAGTCTGCGCGGGGTTCAACGAGCACGCACTTATTGTGATACTCCAACGTTCCAGGGCAGTTGAGATGGGCGCAGTGGACGGAACCGATGTAGTGCTCGCGGGGGCCGTCGTTGTGCGTTACGAACCACATGATACACATGGTAGCGATTGGTAGTGGAGTGGAAACGGAAGAATGTGAGATGCGATTGCTGATGCCAACTGGAAGCGACAGGAAGCGGTTGTTAAGGACGATTGCGTTCAAGGTCAATTGAGGAGACAAGCTGTGTTGTTGACGGGGTGGTCAGGCGTAGCAACGGAGAGAATAGCTGCACGGACCAATCGCGTAGCGCGATGTAGCGGACAGCAAACGAAGAGATCAAGGGAGACGCGTCGGGCTGTCGCGTTTGCAGTAGCGGAATCGAGCTTTTGAGATCAAGTTTTACTGGCGGCTGCTAGAGATCATTGCGCTGGCCGATGGAAAGTTGACAATGGGTAGGATATAGAAAACAACGGATGGACGGTTCAAGTTTGGATGAAGTGAAAGCAGTGAGAACTATACCACCGAACACATAAGATCGATCGTCGTCTTACCATCCCTCAATCGTGAAGTCAAATACTCTGTCCCCTTTACCCTTCTCAATCGGTTTTGCGTCGCCGTCATACAGCGTCCTCTCGAAATACGTCACCTTGCCCTCCTTGTCGCAAAGCACTACGATATTCTTCTGGGTACCATAACACCCACTCGTAGCATCCACCGCCTTCGCCTTGACCAAGTCGCCTATCTCATGCGCAGGCATCTTGTGCTCTTCCAGATGGTCTCTTCCGATGGCCGGTATAAAGATGCTGTGACGGAGCTGGTTGAGATACATGTCCCATTCTTCATTCTCTTTCTGTCGGGGCATGGTGTCCGTGGTCAGGATGTCAAGAAGGCGATTGATAAGCTGGTCGCGAGATTCATTCGCGGCGACGGATTCAGCGATAGCGGTGCGCGTCCAGGCTTCTCCGTTTGTTACCTTGGGCCAGCTGCGGTCACTGTAGGCGGCGTTGCTGAGAGCTCGGGTTTCGTTTGGCGCTTGCAGGAGATGAACCACACCATGAACATCTGGAGTGCGGTTGCTCACGATTGCTAGGCCTCTTCCTTCTTCTTTGACGACATCCTGGATGAATCCATAGCAGAGCGAGAAACCTCCTACACCTTCAACACCATCCTCTTCAATCATTCGTTTCGCGAAAACTTCTGTGCTTTCCCCTTTCTTTGGGTCAATCTTCAGCCAAGCGTTTGGAATTAATCCTCTGCTTCGCGCTCCTTCAACGATGGTTTGGTCTTCTTCACGGTAGTTGGTCAATACTGCGATACGGCCTTGACGAGTTACACCTAGCCAGGTGCCATGAGCAGGCCGGTGTAGATCATAGCCTCCTAGGACTTGAGTATCTGGCGATGGCCACCATGTCGCCTCTGCCGTTGGACGGTGAAGATACTCCTGGTCTGCGTTAGTCGTGGGAGAGAAACACTGAAGCCTAACAAACGTACGTCTCGATTGTTGAGTAGAATGAACGGGTAGTCTGGGTGCGCGGTCGTAAGTATAGCGATGCACATGATGATGGATGTATTCTGGTTGTAAGAGGGTTTGTGAGTTGAAGTGTGACAACGCGGTGTTCTGTGGCGTTGAAGTTTCGGGGAACGACGGGATAAGCGCAAAGTTTACCGAAGTGCAGTGTGAGCGGTGTGAATGGATGCCAACGAGTGCTTAAACGTTCAATTTTATACGTGGTTCCAACCGTACAGGATGTGGACTGAGGTAGGACGACACATGGCGAGACAAAGGTTCACCGGAGGCGGAATCTGATGTCCCTGTGACATAAGGAGAGTGCGACCTCGGGCCCGCGATGGAGAAGGCGGCGTCACTTTACTTAATATTGACTTGTCGCACTTGCGTTAGCATGCTGTTGACTGCGAGGTACTCAACAGCTGTGTGAGCCGTCGTTCTCTAGAGATGTCGCACAGCATGACTGTTCCTGCAGCGGAGTGACACGGCAATCATTCACGTGCCAGCGGCAGAACCCCGGCCCATCTCGAGCTCGGATCCCTGCCAAACGTCACAGCCCCGGTTACACCTGCCTCTGCGTCAGCCCTATCTCTTGCACCAAACTTCGCAATACCCAGGAATTGAACGACAAGCTCCTCATACACTGCATAATTCTTCCAAGTAAAGGAAACTATAATGGCAGCCAACTTTGCCCCATACCAAGACATCCCCGAATCGTCACGCGCGCTCTCTCCACCGCCCGTCCACTCGCCGAGGACATCTATCGACCGCACACGTAACATCACATCGCCCACCACACGCGCATACGAACAGCATGACTACTTCCAAGGTCAATCGCCTATATCGCCGCCCGCGGAACCCGATACAGAGCGCATAGCATGGGATCAGCCTTCGCGGAGCACAGGCTTTGGCCGTTCGCGCGAGGATGTCGATATGTTCACAACGTCTTTAGGCTGGCGACTAGACTATGAAGCGTGCCTGGCATATCTTCTACTACCACCCGCGGGCGGTGTGTTACTGCTGGTTCTAGAGCACCAAAGCGACTATGTTCGGTTCCATGCCTGGCAAAGCAGCTTGCTGTTCGCCTTCGTCTTTGTGGTGCACATCATATTCAGCTGGTCGAGCTTTATCTCCTGGGTGCTATTCATCGGAGATTTGGCGGTGATAGGGTGGTTGACTTGGAGGGCATATTTGGATGGTGGGTCCAAGGTGTGAAAGCTAGAATGGAGCCAGTCGCTAACATGTGGACAGCCGCAACGCTCGATCGATACGAAGTACCCTTCTTTGGCCCGCTGGCCAGCTCGATACTCGACGACGAATAGGGTGGCATGTGGAGACGGAGGATAATGTCGATATGAGCAAGCATGGCGTTTACGGAGTTTCTGACAGCGACGATCTTCAGTCAGCTTGGAGTGACATAGACTTTCACAACGCGATATTGGTTTCCTGATAGTCTAACGATTGTCATTCTTGAATCCAATGCGTAAAAAGGTCAGCTAGGGAACACGTCAACCCTAGTGCAACCTCTTCAGTGTCAACTAAACCACATGTTCGTGTTCGTAGTCTATACTGCAAACAGGGTGCTCTAGCGGCGTATAATCACCTACGTTCGAAGATACTCTTCACTTCCATTGAAGCCACGTTGATCAAACGACATCACCCTACCACGATCAATCGATGAGTTTCGGTGGGCAGTGTCTTCCTGGAAAGATACCAGCGCTCATCATCGAAGCATGTCAACCGAGCTAAACCTGGAAAGTACGCTTTCGCGCTGCAGAGAAAACTGTAAGTAAGACCCGCAACAACGAAACTTCTTCCTACTCTGTGCTATCACGTGGTAAACGTAAACTAACCAGACGCAAAGGGAAATGATGGAGTACAGCGATCGAGAACACCATCATCTATTTCTTGCCTACTACGTTGTTGTCGTGGTAGAAGGCCTGCTTGCTAGCGCGCTATTTCTAGCTTTCACTGCAACACGGAAATCGGGTTTAGTGCCTATCCGACTAGCCAATAGGCCTCCGATAGATCGCATCCCTCGCTAAGCTTGCTGTCTGCGCCGCAGCCAAGCAATATCAACAAACTACAGCAGCGGTGCAGCATGCACCAACGAGCAGCCTATCATAATGTCGATCTTATGTCACAGGTTCGGCCTTCAAAAGAATGTCCCAAGAGCTGCCGCATTCCCGTCTTTACAGCTTATACGCGGTCGGTTCTCCAGCGGTCATAACTACGCCAAACGCGCTTCCAACGGCGATTACGAGAAGTTTTATCGCTATGACAGCGGACGCTGGCTCTGGGACGAAGAAGAACAGCTACGCAAACGATACAACAAATTCGATGTTCCCAAACTACAGAAGCTCGCCGCCAGATACGCGCGTGCAGGCTCTTGCTCGTCAATGGTCAAGATTGCGGAGGACGGACTAAGCAGAGTCTTTCGACTTGTCATGAACAACGGCAAAGTTGTCATCGCACGCCTGCCCTATCCCCATCTTGGACAAAGTCGTTGGTCAGCGGGTTCGGAAGCTGCTACCATTACTTTCGTACGTGGACTTTGCATTACGGTCAACATTAAAGAAGCCGACTGATAATTTTGGTTCCTCAGGCTAGTAGAGTCCTTGGTATTCCAACGCCTCACGTATTGAAATGGGCTAGCCCTCCACGTAGTCCAATAGGACCTGAATTTATTCTGACGGTAGAAGCGAAGGGTTCTCAACTCAGCGAGATCTGGGGCGAACTCGGATTTGAATCCAAACGCAAGATCGTGAACCAGGTCATCGAAATACAAAGGAAACTCTTGTCAACGCCATTCACGCAGTGTGGTAGTCTGTGTTTTGCGCGCAAGTCTGTAAGGCGGACAAGTGCTGAAGTAGTAGCAGACTTTCCAGAGGGGCTGAAGGAAGGGTTGAAGAGAAGGTTCGCCGTAGGGCCGACTTCTCAGCCAGATTTCTGGACCGGAGAGAGGATGGTGATGAGTATTGATCGTGGTCCTTGTAGGTCGCCTTCGACAGGATAACACTGTGAGCTCTACTGACCCGTACCAGGGACTCATCCTTCTGACTACCTCAAAGCGATAGCCAAGCGAGAGATCGCCTGGCTAGAGAGTCACGCCACATCCGAGCTACTGCAGCATCCTCTGGACAATCGATCAAGAGCCCAAAAGAGTCCAGCAGCTCATGTCAAACTCTACAAGAAGTTCCTCGAGATCGCTGATCACATCCTACCCCAAGGCGAACTGAGCAAGCCTGTGCTCTGGCACTGTGATCTCCGCCCCGCCAACATCTTCGTCAAGAATGACCGCATAACCAGCATAGTCAACTGGCAGCACGCCTGGGTCGGCCCGCTCTTCATGCAAGCGAGACACCCACAGCTAGTAGCATATGACGGCGAGATGATGTTGCACCTTCCTGATCGCTGCGAACAGCCGGACAAAGAGCGCGACCATGAAGAGAAGAAGCGACTGCAAGATCAAGTTGAGCGCTCGCTCATCCTTCGTCACTATGAGCGCGGGATACGGAAAGCAAGTCCGCTAATGAACGAGATTATGAGTCTACCCCATGGACAGACAAGACATGACTTGGTCACCTTCGCTGAGAACACTTGGAACGGGGATATCATACCATTCAGAAAGAGCTTGGCACTTGTAACCCGGTATGTTGCGATCTCAAAATTTACCTTTCGGGCTCTCGTTCTAGCATCTAACTTATTGGTTTGACAGAAAATGGAAAAAGATCATCGGCCCTATGCCATGTCCAGTATCCTTTACGCAAAAGCAAGTCAACGCGCATCTTCGTGAGGGCGAGGGCTGGATGAAACACGCAGACTTCTGGGAGTCAAAGCAGGGTCTCATCACCCGCGATGGGTGGACGACCAATGAGCTGTATGAATCGCTCAAAAAGCAGTATGAGGAGTACACTACCCGTAAGGCTAGTCGAAAGGGGGTGAATCCATTGAGAAATTTAGTCTGGAGAGACGGATTGTAGTAAGTGCAAATCGAACCTCAGCCGAGAGTGTATCGATCTTGTAATTAGACGTACATCAAAGTCGTACTCTGGTTCCGTTACCTCCATCCCATAGTATACTTAATGACCCACCGCAACGAGCGACTCACAACTTCCAAAATCTATATGTACCTATCTAATCAGGTCCTCTCGAAAAGAGAAGTATCGTCAACACAAGAGCTAGATGTACATCATCAAAAGTGGAAAAATCACAGGACTGTGGTACGCAGCTCTCATTCGCACAAAGTCAATGCAGGCATACTAGATCTCCACACCGACGTCGTCCCTTCGTATGTCACTCGCTCACAGCACGGCATCAACGACCGATTGAACTGAATGATCTCATAGAGAAACGCCGATGAGAAGATCGCAGTACAAGACTGCTGGTCGTTTGATAGATCAACACTACATCCATTGATCGTATGAGTGCGCCATTCGTCAAAGATCTCGTGTCCATAGCTGACTAACAACGGGATCCTGACGGGGGATATTCGAAGTCGTCCACGGTATGAGCGGCAAAGAACGCGAATCTTCAATGTGAGACGCGAGTCATTGTAGTCTGGCTCATACAAAGCAAGCAATTTCTCGCTGCTTCTGAATGTTTCCGGGTCCGTAGTCACCGGAAGGGTAATCCGAGCATATTCCCGACGCGAGTTGAGGAGACAAAGCGGGGTCGTGAGTTCGGTTTGAACACCCAAAACGTGTGCCACTATGCCTATGGAACATAGGCAGAATGAGCGTCTACAGCTATTCAGGACATTTTCGGCGACTTCTAGATCCGTGACACTATAATCAACAGTCACATCCGAGCCTTCGCCACATAGAGAAAGCAGCGAAAATACGCGATCGCGAACGACGCACGACTTCTTGGCTTTAAATCGGTCCATTAGGTATATCAGACTTCTGCCCCGGAGTTCATGTGTCGTGCGTGGATCCAGTGCTCCAATGCGGTCATCACAGATATAATTGAGGTCGAAAGAGAGTGAACTTGCTGCTAAGCTCACTGCTCCAGCCATGAACGTGATTTGACGGGCAAGCGCGACTTCTTGAGTGATCCAGGCACGATCCCAATAATCAGCGAAACAGAATTGGCGGTATGCATCCAGGTACGCGGCCGAGATCTTCCCTTCGTTGTTATGGCCTTGTGGGCCTGAATTGTCAATCATCGCTCGTGCATCTCTTTCTGTAATTCCCATTAATTTTCTCCGTTTTCTCAACTTTCGTGGACCTTGCGTCGATGCCCCTTCATTTTTCACATCTTTCGAGGTCTCTAAAAAGAGGACAACCCCGTTGTGGGTACCAAGCCACGCTATAACCTGTGCCGCCCCCGCAAATATGTCTCCCATCTGTTTAACCTGATGATTTCTCTCGATACCATTGCTCTGGTCTATACAGATAGCATCTATCCAGAACCAGTGGGAGTGGCACTCCTTGTGCTGCCACGCCACTCTCAAAAAGCTGTATAGGTTCTGTCGAACGCGGAACCGTTGGCCATTTACCAGAATCCAGTGGTGGCAATCATTGTCACCCCAGACGTATGACAGGCAGCGGTAAGTGCTCTTAGTTGAAGCGTGTTGGAGCTGGCATTGGATTACGTCATCTGACGACCTTGGTGGATGGATGCGAACCAGACGGATAGAAGGCTCGCGGTAGTCAAGAGGTGTGTAGGCAAACTCCGCTTGGTATCTGGTGGAGGGCGTGTGACTATGATTGGTCACCGACGACATGGCCCCTGGATTCATCGCGATGTGGACGGATTGAAATGAAACCTTGGTAGACGTGCTGCTACTTAGTTTTAGTTAAGGTATAAGTATCTTGAAAGATGAGGGCGCGAGAGCGCCTATTTGATCAGGCTCCAGAAAGTGGCTGCTTGCTGTAGGCATCATGCGGAGCGGGGCAGTGCAGGTTGCTGGACGCCCATAACTAGAGCCTGCTTGCCCATTGTCCTATCAGTCTCGTCCATCATTGTTGTGGCCTAAACTTCTTTTCCGATCCGGGCGACTCTGGAATGCGAAAACCTGCGAAGATCGGTGGCTTCACAGTTGGTCGAAGGTGCGACGTATACCTATTCCCAGCTACCCAGATATTGTCAGGGTGTCATGACGGTTTGTTCGAGGCAGCAGCATACGCGAAGCAGGTCCCACAATGCATCGATAAGCGGCAAGAGCAGTCAATCCGTGTGTTCATGCGTATTTAAGAAGGTGAGGCGCTGGAAGGAGAACGCTTCGAAAGTCACCTGAGCACCGTGGACGGCTTCGACTCGGCCAAGGTTCGGCAACCTCGGCAGCCGCTCCTACTAACGCCGCCTAGCTCCATGCCGAAATGCATAGGTAATCATTCATCTCGACCTTAGTTCTCAGGAAGTAACATAGTTGCAGAGAAACCCCGCCTTGAAACATTGACATCGCGTGCGCGATAGCTATGCTGCAGCAGGTCACCGTACCCCCGCATACCGCCGAACAACAGGTGCGACGCCTGGTTCACGGAGGATTGTCCGCGATGTTCCCGAGGTCGCCTCTGCCTTACTATATGCGCTATCATGTATTGCTCGCCCTTTGCTATCTTGTGTTCCTCACGCCGAAATATGTCAGAACGTACAATCAAGAGAGAAATGGCTATAACCAGACAGCGCATCTCAAGAAAATGTTGCGTGGTAGACTAGCACATCTAGAATGCTCACTAAACATCGGTCCGGCTACCAGAAATCTCGAAGTTCACTAATCAGCTAATCATCCACCGGGCCATGCTTAGACCGACTGATCAGCCTGGGTGTTTCACCAGATTGCGCCCGTAATTCTCAGCACCGGACGAACAAACTGTCCTTCTGGCCAAATTGCATCATTCGAATCAGTCCTTTCCTCACCAGCACCAGCGCGCCAGAAAGAACCACAAGATTGTTAAGCATGCTCGGCCTCGGGGTTTATCACCTCTTCTATTTCAGGTCGGAGCCTACATAAGGAAGAAGTGTATCGTGTAAATCATAACTTTACAGCTCTCTACCAATTGCTAAACATTCGACATCATCACAGCAGCAACCACAAACCAAACAATGTCTTCACCCATTACCTATCTGATCACCGGAGCCAACCGCGGCATTGGCAAAGGCTTCACCCAAAGCCTGCTTCAACGCCCAAACACAACTGTGATTGCCGCAGTCCGAGACGTCGCCAAGTCCACCCCAACATTGGAGTCTTTGTCCAAGGCCTCGGGTTCTAAACTCATCGTCGTCAAGCTCGATTCATCCGCCGAAGCGGACCCCAAGAATGCTGTCGCTCAACTCCAGTCCGAGCACGGCATCACCTCTCTCGACATCGTGATTGCCAACGCCGGAATCGCGCACTCGGGAACAACCATCGCCAACACCTCATCCGAGGCACTCCGCGACCACTTTGCCGTCAACACAATCGGCCCTATCCTCCTCTTCCAGGCCGTCAAGCCGCTTCTCCAAGCCAGCAAGACCGGCAACCCCATCTTCCTCGCCATCTCCACGGTCATCGGCAGCATGGGCGCCCAGGCAGGTCTCGCTGGCTTCCCAGAGGTCTTCAGCCCGTATGGATCTAGCAAGGCCGCACTGAACTGGGCTGTGAACAGGATGCACTTCGAGGAGCCGTGGCTCACATCATACGTGACGCATCCTGGTTTGGTGGTGACGGATATGGGGAACACCATGGGTTCGCCTGAGGCGCTGAAGGCCGCGGGTGCCATTACTGTTGAGCAGAGTGTAGGCGGGGTTATAAGCACGCTGGATAAGGCTGAGAGGTCGATCTCGGGAACGTTCCAGAATTGGGATGGGACTACGCTGCCGTGGTAATGCCTAGAACTAAATAGTGTAGCGCAACATTATTAATGTCACGACCATATGTATAAATGGAACTAAGGCCAGTTGCTTCATCTTCGATGGACTTCTCTCGGAAAGCGATCTAAAAGGAGCGTAAACACCAACTTGCTGCACGTGTAGTGTGAGAAGCGATTGATATCTATAGTTTCATCACCTGTGGAAAGGGCTGATCAAAGGCTGTCAAGGCTTACTTATTGCATGTGAAACAACCGAAAGCTGTATGCAAATTTGCGGGGAGAGTCTAGCTCTGCAGATACAAAATCACAGCCAATTCTTATCAAGCCTTGGATCTAGTATTGTACTAAGGGTGAAGTTTCATAGTGTGCGTATTCTACTAACATTCGTCTTCCACTCAAAACGGCTGACACTACTTGACTGTAGCTCTAGACCAGAGCGCTGTTAGGCTGAACAAGGATTCAGTTGGAATATAGATGTAGTAGAGGATCCTCCAGGAATTCAGCCATTTCAGTCCCTTGAAAGCTGACTCGATCGCATGGTGTCGCCAAAGACGTATCACGAGTGACGAGGAAGCCGAAAGAGAAGCAGACCTTACACATATCTCCTAATCGAGTCAACGTACAGCAAGTGCGCGCTTCATACTCTGTTTCCTTCTTTGTAATCCCGTTATCTTCAACTACCGTCCATGAGCTAGGTCGGTTTGGAGACCCAGTCCACATGGTGATCTTCATCCTCAGAGTCAGAGTTGAGGAGCAGATATGTCTAGGATAGAGGACGACCGATGAACCGCCACGAGACGAGAATTGATGAACATACCCCGGTGTATGAGATCATTTTGTCTCGTTATAACCTAGAACTTGGTAGGGCTGAGAGTTATATTCCCGGAAAGGAAGGGCAGGGCCAGCAAAGAACGGCAGTAAAATGTAAGCAAAGGGCCGTTTATAGGGTTCCTGAATTGGACCGAAGAAGTTGCAGGATATCCGCTCTGGATCTAAGGCTGACGTTACGATTTGTACAGAGCACAAGCAGAACGACTGTTTGCAGCAATGAAGAATCCGTTCCATGAATGAATCAATTTGGCAGCCGTAGTCAACTTGGAGATCAGATCCATCACCACAAAGCGCCAGGAGCGAGTAGATACGATCGCGACGGTCATGGGACTTCTTCAAGTCAAATTGACGGATAAGAAAGATGAGGCTTCGACCTTTTAGTTTCTGCACCTCATGAGGTAGCATCTTTTCGATATGCTTGTAGTAATCGAACTCTTCAGTCTGAGGCAGTTCGAATTTCGATTCAACGTGACCGGCGCACAAAGTGATTCGACGTGCAAGTGCGACTTCTTGTGTGATCCACGCACGATCCCAGTAATCGGATGTGCAAAAGCGAATAGCCCCGTCGTATTCCATTGGTTTGAAGCCTCGTTTACCAAACCAGCCTTCTCCTTTCGAATAGCTCCTCCACGTCATATCTTTCTGGTTCAGACGCTGAAGATACATGGCGATGGATGTGTTGTCTCCGAGCCACGACAACACTTCCTTGGCACCAGAAAAGATCATGCCCATCTGTTGTACCTGCTGGTTTCGCTCGTGAACGTTGGTTTGATCAATGCACAGAGCATCAACCCACAACCATCGTTCTCGCAGTCGCTCTTTTTGCGTTGCAGCATCAAGAAAGCTGTGAAGATTACGTCGTACTCTCATGATCCTGTCGTTGATCATGATGTAGTGTTCGTCCCCTGGCTCACCCCAAACATAAGAAAGGCAGACGTACGAGTCGTCGATGGACGCTTGACGAATCTCGCACTTGATGTAACCTTGGGTACTTCTCGCCGCAAAAACGCGAATGAGGCGGATTAATGCTTTGCCATGACCGAGAGGAGTGTACGCGAATCTTCTGGCTGGGGGTTGCGCCGATTCGTTATGGGAGCTTGGTTGGACAGTGTTCAACATCGTCGAACGGTTCAGCGCTAGATACATGTAATACAACAAGCGAAGAAGTTTGCGCGATCATGAGTTGTAGATTGTGCGTGATCGAGGAATATAGAATGTTGGAACCTAGGGTGGTAAGTGATATAGCCCGCGAGTGGGGCAGTGCAGAGCTAGGTAGCTGCACGTAAGCTTCCTCTCATCCAATGATTCGTAGATATTATCGTTTTTTACCTCCGCGACTATTTTGCGCCAGGCAGACATCAAATCTGTGGTCTAAGCTGTGTATGCTCGGCCACGCTATCAATACTGCTGAACATGCCCGCAGTTAGCTGTTCACAAATACAAAGATGACCCTACTCGCTTCAGGTTCCCCATTCGCAAGTGTAACATGATGAGAAGAGTGTGCACTTGATGATGTTGTTAGGATGGTCGACGGACCACAATTAATTTTCATGGCTGGAAGAGTAGCTAGTAACCAACAGATGATATTGTCATTAGCTTAGTTTACCCGTGCGTGACGCGAACGACGCGAACAGAGCAGTCGCATCGCAGGGCCCTCATGAGACGACGCCGATTTTGTCCCTACATCAGCTACACGGGCACATAGCCCGCTGCGATAGTCTCGGTCAAGTTGGGCGAGTTTCACAAGGAAATCGAAAGAAAACCTCGCTTTATAGCTCTCTTTGTCGTTCGTCAATCGCAAGGAGCAGTCGTAGGGTCGCACGGTGAGCTCCGTGGATTCCAGCTCCAGGGAGCGTACTCTTCTACTCCATCGGCCAGCGAACCCGGGAACGTGAGCTACCTCGTCAAGCTTGACGAAAGTATACTCGTAGGACTCGCATATCCTGCCCAGATAGAGATGTATCGACAGTAGCTTACTAGAAGGCGATACTACCACGAAGCCTGGTAAATGAGATTGCTGTGTACCGTTGCAACTTGGATAGCAATCATAATATGATTCGCTTGAGCACGAGGCGCGGAGAAAGTCTTCCGAGACGATAGGTAGCGTCATCGTTGCAAACGATGAGAGCCTGTCGTTCCAAGCCACATCGCTCGGATCCGGGGACTTCAGTTGTAGAATGAATGCAACCAGGTTGGTGGCGCACAAGCAGAACGACTTCTTGCAACACCTTAAAATATGTTTAGCCACTGTGAGATCCGTAGCTTTGTAGTCGACCTGTAGATCTTTCCCTTCGCCGCAAAGCGCAAGTAGTGAATAGACACGATCTCGGCTGATATGTGCCTCCTTGAGCTTAAATCGGTTCATCAGATAGATAAGACTTCTACCCTTCCAGTCCATAGTAATAGATTGGTGGAGAAGTTCGAGTCGTCTAGGGTAGCTTTCCAAATTTGAAAGTACTGGGAATAATGAACCGTCCAGTTCGATATCAGCGGCCATGAGCGTTATCTCCCGTGCAAGCCCGAGCTCTTGCGTAATCCATGCCCGATCCCAGTACTCAGCAACGCAAAGATGGTGAAAGCCCAGCCCAGATTCAGGATGTCCCAAAGTCGGTTTCTTCTTATCTTTTGCGCACTTTTCGCTCATAGTACGTGGCCGCAGGTACTCCAAGTACTCGGCGATGCTGACGTCATCTCCCAGCCATGACACCACATTCTTCGCTCGGCTGAAAATCACACCCATTTGTTGTACCTGGTGATTGCGTTCGGAAGAGTCGTTCTGGTTGATGCAGAGGGCGTCGATCCAGATCCAAGCACGTGATAAATGTTTGATTCGTCTCGCCCGTGTGAGAAATCGATGTAGGTTGTGACGCACTTTAAAGGGTTTGCCGTCTATAAGAATGGTATAGCGTTCGTCATCACCGCCCCATACATATGAGAGACAGATATATGAGGCTTCTGTAGTAGCGTGTTTGATCTTGCATTGAACGTGACCGCCGGCGGACTTTTCGCTTAGGAGTCGTATGAGTCTGATTGAGGAAGTCTGTCGGTCCAAAGGCCGGTACTGAAAAGGACGAGACATGCGTATGCCAACGCTCGAACCCCAATTTTTCGGGAGGCTGCTGGTTTGTATGAAGTTCCGCGCGAAGAGAGAAGGTAGCGGAAATGTGAATCTGGTATTGCTGGGGGTTGGCGGGATTGGGGCGGTGCCAGAGTACGAGTGACGACAAATATGAGCAGGTAGCTTATAGAGGCGGTGCGTGTGCAAGCCGAGCGGGGCGGCTTAAGGCAGAAGGGCTACACGCCATCCTCGATTCGAGCATACTGCTTACGCCGGAATCCCAAAAGACTGCCTTACAAGAAGACGCGCCTTTGATCTTGAATGGGGCCCGGAACTGGGTCGCGTTGGTTCGCTACATACTTCTGCAGTGTCAATGAAGAAGTATCCTGAACGCTTCGTGATTACGATCATGTAGCTAGACAGTGGTATAAGATAGCATGCTAAGTGGGCTTTCGAAATGTCTATCGACCTACTAATTGTACGCCGCAGTATACTACCTAGGCAGCGGATGGTCTGCAGTATGCGGAGGTGATGTTCATATTCGAGGTGAGCAGTTGAAATTATTCCGTCGGTTGCAAAGACAGCGAGAGACGGCGACGGCCTTGTTCATGGCTCTTGCAGAAGTTGTGGTCGCAATGAACGAAGGCAGGCTGCCGCGTGCGAGCCGGAGCCCCACATCGCCAGGACCGTGCGTTGACACGTTCGCCACCGGAAGACCTCGGGATAGACAACACTCCATGACCTAGACGACCGCACTTCTCACAACGACACTTTACACGCTTCATTTCACACGAAATGCAAACCTGGTATCAGCGTTGCAACCGCAGGTTTTGGCCATCGTATGCCGATTTGCAGGCAGATGGCTAACCCGGACGATCCCCACTCAATGACTTCAAGCTAATGAGTGTAGCCAAAAGGTCCCGAGGTCGCATACGTGACTGTGGACGGTCTCGTCACTACTTGAGAGCAGCTGCTTCAGAAGACATGCTCGAATTGCAGCCGTCTCTGACCAACATGACAAAGCTTCCATTCCCGTCATTCTTTGGCAGTCGTCGAACAAAACTATGTTCTCCTCATGTCGTCCCATATCATCACATTGCCTAAAGCTATCGCACTCCTACGATGTCTTTGTGTTATCAATTTCTGCAGCGGGCATCGACATCACAGAGAATTTGCTACTCGGAGCTTTGGACTGATCGAGTTTACTTTGATTAGTCCTCTTGCCATGGAAGGAGCAAGGATGTCGAAAGAGCAGAGTCGCACTAGATGCTCATCACATCTATTTGTCGATGTGTTGGTCTAGTTTTGGTCGCAGGTAGGCAGCGCGGCTCCATCCTCGTGTCTTATATATTACCCCCTTGGCTATGTTTGATCACTGTTGCCCACGCAACAGCAGTTCCTCTGTTCTGAAGCTCTCCTTCATTGCGAGCGCGCACGGACGACTTCGGTTTAGTATATCAGTCTAGCTATACCCCACCTCCAGGTACTTCGCTACATCCGACTTGCGACGCGACCAGTACACGTTGCCATATCCCTCACCCAATCTCCTTTGCCAATAATGGCGCTCACGCCCTTGCTATTCGATGCGTATCAGAAGTACAAGAGAGGAACCGAAGATCTCGTTCAATGGCTAGCTGAGACAGCCCGCGCCACTGGTACCGTCAACGACGTGTTCAGTGATAGTCAACAACGAGGGAAACCGCCTATGGGAGGTAGACTGAAGGGGAACGCCCGGAAAGAAGCAAAGAACGCCCCAGCTACGTACCAGATCACAGCTAGATCGTTCGTCACTCTTGCGACAGCTATCGCCAACGATGCGCGTGCATCTGTTCCAACCTCGGTCTTCGGAACCTTGCAGGCTGTCATTCGAGGTCGCAAAGATTGCGCAGTCTGGTACGCAAGCACTTCTGATTGTGCAGACAACGCCGTCAAGGAGAACAACGCGAGCCACCAATACTTCATCAAGACTTTGGAAGACGTCCTCGAAATCCTCAAGGCCGCCAAGAGGCCACCAGTCGAACGTCGGCAGCCCAAGACCACAAAGGCAGAAGCTATACGCACGAGTAACAAGTACGAGCTGCTGGAGAACGAGGCTCTCCCAGAGTCCGACCATATGCCCGAGATTATCGAGGTCCACGCCACACCCGCCAAGTCGAAGGTGACCTACAAGCTCGAAGAGTCTGAAACTGACGTTACCTTCGCCATCTACTGCTTTCTCATGGACGTTACAGATCTCAGGATTGCAGTCAGACGCACTTGGCGTGAGTTCGCGAACGGCGACATCGGTCTCCAGGCCGCCGCGCTAACCATGAACATCGCTCTGGCAATGATAGAGAAGTTGAGCAACGATTTTGAGGAAGCCAACCCTCGATTCAAGGACTCGAAAGGTCATAGTATGCACGGCGAACTCATCGGCTTCTTACAGCGCAGCCGCTCCAAGGTTGAACCAGGTTCGCCATTCGTCAATGCAACCAATGATTGTGGGGAGCCTTTCGCTTACAAACAAGAAAAGCAATCATTGAGCTTCAATACTGTCATATGCAAGCATGTCACAGAGTTGCTCCTCTTCACATTCAGTGACATAACGAAGAACGAAGAATTTCGATACTCCAACGATGAAAAGAGATTCCTCAAGTGTGTTTCACAGTTTGCAGCATCACCTTCGATAGAACCCCGTTTCATGGAAGAATACATGGTCCGAAAGGCTGCATTCGCCATGCTTCGCGAGGGCCGCCTGCAAAGCTGGATTTTTTTCTCGCTGCAAATATTCTGGGATATGCAAAGAGAGCTGGAGCGTCATTTATCTGTCGGTGAGGAGCTTCTCTACAAGATCGGACAGCAGATCATCACAGGATACCAAGCTTACCTCGACGTCAAGGGGTTTGAGGGGTTGGACGACGCCTATACACTCTCTCGTGAAAGCGTTATCGATCGCAAAGAGTTTGTCGAAGCCGTCATTGTCAATAAGAAGGCCCAGATGGGGTTCGATATTGATGAAAAACAATTACCGCTAAAATTCCGGAAGATACCTGGGTTCTCACTGTTGAGGTGCGATCCCGCGTTCTGCGGCGTACTCCTGGCCACCATGTGCAAAGAGTATCACGAAGTAGCCATCGAGTGTACGTCAAACGATGGTCAAATCATTGTGATGGCCCATCTGTATAACGCTGCTCAGTGTGCCGGATATTTACCTGAAGATCTGCGATGGGCAGATATGGAATGGTTGATCGAGCAGCAAGGTAGCGATTGGATCTTCATGGGCAAGAAACCACAACAAGACCCTGAATTCGGAAAACGCATCCTGCTGATCATGGGGAATGTGGCCCACGATTTCACCAAAGGTTACAGGCCTCGCACCAGCTCAACCTATGTTTCCCGCGTAAGTGGAAGACGTCGCCTCAGTTATCATTCCCAGTATCTCGAGTCGTCCGTTGACAGAAAGCCACGCGATAAGACGCATCAGAAAGTCAAGACCTTGGAAAAATGGCGTCAACAAAGACAGAAGGGGCCTGTACACGACGACGAACCAAGGAAAGACACGCTTGTCAAATCAGAGTTGCTGATTGGAGACGCTCAGAAAAAGTCTCACAATCCGCAAAAGCCGCTGTCTTCTCTGGAAAAGCTACGTATCTTCAAAGAGGTTGTTAGCAAAGATGAGACGGCTCTCACATTCGACGTGTTGCAGCTGCATATGCGATGCACCCAGGTACTGCTGCAGATCCACAAGTACGCTCGGAAGGTCGCACCGGTCGACTATCCAGCATTCATTTTCCAAGGAGATTCATGGTTGACCATCGCTATCCCTTGTATGCTATACAACTGGAAAAAGAATCAACCACACCACCCGTGTATCTTTCCGGTGGTAGGTATTATGCTCCGCAAGATGATTGAGAAAGAGGGGGATTCGGCTCTCAAGGGTGCTGCAGCGTTGCAGAAGAGTATGAAGGTCAAGTTCCCAGGATACCGGAAAGTGGATGAACCTAGCTTCGAAACCCCGTTGGAAGACTTGATCCCCGTTCAGCTGCGTACCGAGTTTCCATACTCGATGTATTGGCAAGTGGTGCAGGAACGATCGGGCAACTCTGGATATGGCTCTAGATTCGAGTCGGATGTGGATTAGGTTGCACCTTGGAAGAGATCATCGACACTTCTAGCTTCGCGCGAAGGGTAGATACTCGGCTCAACGTCTAGGCTTGCAGTACAGATGCAAACACTGAACGATACGCAAAAGTCTATACGTGAAAACATGGTCTTTGTCCCGAGGATTGATGAATTAAGTAACTATAGCTAACATCTAAATCCAGAGCATCGCAGTAAAGGCGCTGAGCACCAAGAGCCCTCCACCGAGACTCTTGCCCAAGACCGCACCAGACTCACCAGTCTGCTCGGCCACAGCCGCACTGCCCGTCGCACTTCCCGTCGGCGTCACACTAGCCATACTCGCACTCCCCGTAACATTCCCCGTCTCCATCGCATGCTCCCCGCCCACACCCCCATCCACATTAACATTAACCGTCGCACTCGCACTCGCGCTCGGACTAGCCTCCGTCTTCACCCCCTCACTACTCGCACTAGAACTCTTCTCCCCATCACCATCCCCACTCCCACTCTTCTTCACTTTCCCATCCCCGCCATCAACAACAATACTCTCAAACGACCCACTCAAATCGCCATACTGATAGCTGGAACCGGGATTCTGATTCCGCACCTCCACCTTCTCCACCACCATCGTAAAAGGCGCAGCGCTGTAATCCGTTTCGCCGCCGGCCCATTCAATAGTGCCGGGCGCGTTGTTGGGGTCGCCGCCGGCCCAGATGCCGATGCGGACGTTCATGGGGGTTTGGGGGTAGTTTGAGCCGCCGTTTGCGTCGGAGTAGGAGAGTGTGCGTTTGGGGGTGCCGTCGACGAGCCAGGTTGTCGAGGTGGAGGTCCAGGCGATGGTGTAGTTGTGCGATGTGGATTGGGTGTCGGGGATTGGGGCGTCGACTTCGCGGTCGTGGGTTGTGGTGTTGCCTTTGCCGAAGTAGTTTGCTGGGGGGATGTTAGTGGGGGGTTCTTATGGGGGGATACGAAGGTGGAAGGATAGGGAGAATGGTGGAGGACTTACTCTGCACATTCCCAGGTTGTCCACCTAGCCATTCCCAATCCACCTCATCTAGATCGTCACTCTCCAGAATGGCACTGCTCACTACGCCCTTGCCGGGCGCAGCTTTCATGACGAAGCTCACGCTGCCGAAGAAGATGTACCAGTTCGATTGAATAGTGGGTGCATCTCCGGCTTTGTTGATGGTGAACTCTGCTCCTTTCGACGTGTACTTCACATCGCCGGCAGTGACCTTCCAGTTCTCATCATCGGCACCGGTGGTGAAGTCGTGGGTGTAGACTGACTCGGAGAGTGCGGTGTCTGCTGGACAGGATTTCTTGGTTGGGTCGCAGTCTGTGGATGTTTGGGCGAGAGTTTGGGTAGCTGAGAAGAGGATGAGGGAGATAGGAAGTAAGGGGATGTTGGAGAGATGCATTATGTAAGATGTAGAATTAAGTCACTCTTCTGTCGATGGTGTGAACGAGTGACTTTGGAAGAGAGAGATGCCAGAGACAACGACAGTGAACTCGACGAAGTGGACAAAACAAGTCTTGAAGCAAGAGGCTGAAGATAAGCACAAGAAGAACCCGCGTACCCACCTACTTTAATCACAATCTACAAAGCTTGCCATGCTCAACCCTCCGCGTGGCACGCACCTCCCTCATCGCCGCAACCAAGGGGGTCACCAAACCACACCACTCCCCACAGCCCCAATCAAATTATCAAAGTGGATCCCTTGAATTACCATCGTCAGCTCCCAGATCACTCCCTGTACCCAAACATACGGGTGCCAGGACCAAGCATCCACCATTGATAGCGAGGACAGCTGCGGCGGGAACGAGAGGGTCAGGAGCGGTACGCGAATTACAGGTACCAATTCTCGGCCCGTGGTTAAAGCCGCGTGGGTTAATGACGACGCTCGACCCACTTGGCGATCCCGAAACTCAATATGCGAGGAGCTGGGAGTGTGGCTGGTGTGGTGCCTTGCTAAGTATAGGTACGCGAACACGGGGATTTGAGTTTTTGTACGACTTCGGGTTTTGGCAATGGCGCTGTTTGATAGGAGGTTTGTGTCGATTATCCATAATGTGCGGGTTGTGAGTGGGTGGCGCGCTGCGCATCCTCCATGTATCCTCGCACATACGGGTCGTGTGTGTGGGTCATCGCGGTACCGAGGTTTCTTGTACGACGAACACGATGTACATAATAAGTGCGTGAGATGTACGGTGTTGGTGTTGCATCGAGTGTTGTGGTGACACGATGATGTCGCATGCGCTTCTCCCGCCGAGACAAGCAACATTACTCAACGACCAGCGCGCAAGGAATGTGGGCAGCAGACACATTTCCAGGCGTTGATTCTCTTGTGAGGCAACACAGCTTGTGGCACAGCTAGGCATATCGGGTTCTTCCTATGCTGATGCACCGCTATACGACATGTCATTGACATCACGCAGGGGCTAGTTCTTCTTGCGGACTCTCTCATATCGCGTCACAGACCCCTTTCTTTTACAACTACCACGCTCGGGTCAACTCATTCATCAGCATTGTACCGCATCTCGCCTTCCCGTTTCCTTCTATAGCACGGCGCCGGCGAAACACGAAAGGCCCGGACAAGAATAAGAGCGAGAGCCGAACACGAGAAAGAACACTCGCAGTCGAGTCTCGGCCGGTCGACTTGACGTCTTGAGCCGATATGACTATGTTCGAGAACAGCGCTTGTGTTTATACACATTCGAAGCGATGCACTGGCATATCTCAGACACATTTAATCCACATCACAAGTTCGCACCACCACCATGTCCAGAGCATCTTCATGCAAAAGCGCACATCTACGTCCTTGAAAACCAAATTGCGAACGTTGCACTTAAAAGCGCACTATACAATTGAGTCATAATCGTAATGCTTCTATCGCGGTATCCCATTTCCAACAACAACACATTCACCCGCCAACCGTAACGAGCGCAGAGTACTGTTCCATTGCTCAGCAAAAACAGGCTAACCAGTGCAGTTCCATTCCCTCCCGTTCCACTATTCCACGTCTCCACGCACACCCTCTATAGATACGCAGCACTCAGCACCTTCCTCACCGCGTTCTACCGCGTCTTCTTGATTTCCGTCGCCCACCCCTCGATCCCCTCGCCCTTGCTACCAACCGGGATATTCAAATCCACACCCTCCATGCCTTTTGTGTCTTTCAAGAATTCGTGTCCTGCCATTCCGCCCGCGTTTGCGCGGTCAACGGGTAGTAGTTCCAACATGGGTAACAGGAAATCGGCAATCTTCTTACTCTCCTCTGAGCTGAAATGATATTTCTCGTGGAGGACGTCGGGAAGGGCCCAGTGTCGTAATCGGTGAATGTTACGCAGCTCGCCTTTGCGGTTGAATATCTCCTGTGACCATTTTCCCGACATGCAGAGGCCCTTCGGGAAGGTGCCTAGTAGCTCGATGATTTGTGCGATGTGGTCGTCGTCTTTGCCGTACTTTGTGCCAGATTGTGGGTCGAAGAGGTAGTCGCCGGTGATCAATTCGAATGTCTGGATTTGTTAGTCTGCGCCTTTCAAGTTTGGTGGGTTCCATACCATCGCGGCCATACTCCAGACATCGGTACTGGCACCCCATTTGCTACCCAGGATAACTTCTGGTGACCTATATTGCCTGGTCTGGATGTCGTTGGTAAAGTGATGTCCAACCCAGCAGGCGTTTCCAAGATCGGCAATCTTCACTGATATAGTTTCGAAGGCGTTTTCGACTTGCTGCTCGAGCTCGGTTTTGCCGGACGAGCTGCTGGGTTTATCCAGGCTGATACCCGATACCTCCTTAGTAAGGAGATCACTAACAAGATCAGTATACACTTGAACATGGACGTGAGATGACTTACGCGGACTTTTCTCGTTGCTTTTGCGCGTCGTCGTCGCTCGACTTGATTCCGAGCCGTTCTGCCATTGACAGGCTGGGGCCGGCAGATGGAGTTGCTAGAGCACCACTCATTACGACACCGTCTGACGAAGAAGGAGGACTCGGGATAGTCGTGGGGGAGTCTTTACCTGTACCCTCGCTCATAACCTTGTTGAGACTTTGTGTGTTGCCGGGGAAGCTGGAGAGCTCGGCGTGGTTGAAGCTCGCGTTGAGCGGGCTGGGGAGCGGCTGACTGCCTGTGATGAGGGTCCTCCGTCTCCGCCTGCCGTTTCTAACGCTGTCTTCGCTGTCCTTCTTCTTCGGCTCGTCTTTTACGTATGTTTTTACGATCTGCTCGACGTCGCCGATTTCGATGAGAACATTCTCAGGCTTCAGGTCGGTGTGGATGATGCCGCATTCGCGATGGAGGTAGTCGAGGCCCAGCAAGACCTGCTTTGTGATCTGCTTGACCAGCGGCATTGGTATACCGCGGTGGTTCCACCTCTTGATCAGGCCCAGTAAATTCTCTCCCAGCACCTCAAACACCATGCAGACGTGGACGCCGTTGGGGCCCTTGTGGTTGAACGAATCGAGGAGGCTGACGACATGTTTCCGGCCGGGGTGGTTCTCGTTCGCGTCGACCACCTTCTTGAGGAGCTTAATCTCGTCGAGGGCGGTCTCGGTGTAGTGCGCAGCGGAGCGCACGACCTTGAGGGCGACGTGCTTGCCGCTGGTGTTATCCCTCGACAGCCAGACGGTCGAGAAATGGCCCCACCCAAGCTTGCGCACAATCGTGTACTTGCCGTCCTTGTACTCCTCACCGACCTGCACGGGGTGGTAGCCGCCCTTGCAGTAGTCCTCCGAGTCCTCCTCGTCGGCTGTGTTCTCGGCCTCATCGACCGACGACGACGACGAGTCGGGCGAGTGGCTTAATTGGTTTCCGTACATCTTGTGCTGGGCGAGCGGCGAGTTGGCGTTCTGCACACTGCGGGGTTGAGGTCAGTATAAGGTTGCGGCAGTCAGGGCATGTCGGGCGCATTAAAATAAGTGAAAGAGGGGGGCGCAGGCTGGGCGGGCGGGAGGGGTGAGGCTGCAAGCGGTGGTGGAGGGTAGTGGTTGCGGGTGGTGGTGGTGGTGGTGAA